GGGTTTTCATCTATGGATTGATTTACAGCCTTCTAATACTTCTCCAACTCTTTTTTTTTTTTTTTATAATCAAGCTGCAATTCATATTGCTACTAATCACATTTTCTATGAGAGGACTAAACACATTAAGCTGGATTGTCATTTTACAAAAGCTCATTTTACAAAAGCAGTTCCTTGTAAACCTTTTCTTTGTTATTATCCAAAATGAGTATCTCTAATCCTTTGCTCCATCTTGAGGGGAGTAGTAGAGTTTCTTTCTTGTTAATTGGTTTGTTTTAGTTAGTTTGGAAGTTAACTTTTGTAACTAAGCCTTTCTCTTAGACTATTTATATGCTCTCAACCAATAATCAAAGGTATGCAAGATTACTTTCATTATTCAATAAAAACTTTAAGATCAATGAGATTAAATTGAAATCTAACCAGAAGAAAGAAAAAAAAATCGTAAATATTTGGAGCAAAAGAAGAACCTATTGCAACGGAATTTGGAGTCACTTTGGCAATCTCCTAGCCACCTTTCTGGCACAGGGCCATAGCCTTCGTCGCTAAAGCTCTTTGATTCTGGCCAAACACCTCCATACCAAAGCCATTAAAAACCCAATTAGATATTCTATAAATGATTCAATTTACCTTTTAACTCATCAGCTTAAGTTTTCAGGTGATATCAGAACAGTAGGAGATTGTCATTCCTTCCTCATTTAATATTGACTTCTGATGGTTAAATACTCAAAAAAGATGACGAAGAAGATAGGAAATTACCAGAGTCGAGATTGCCTATAATTGTATCTTCGCCGAATCTGGCGGCCTTCCAAATGGAGTTTGGAGGGATTCCTTGGTCATTTTCCAACCCGAGAAAATTCCATGATCGTGTTGTATGCAAATGCCTTTCCTTGTTTTCAAATATTGACATCACGCGTGGATTCTCTGTCGTGTTTTCAAACACATATCCATCAATTCTCAGCATTCATACAAGGAAACGCACCATCCAATATCTATTTTGGTAACTGTAGTTTAAAATACCTTACATTTTAGTCTCTATAATTTTAAAAAATAGTCATATTATGGTCCCTTTACTTTTATTTTTATCTCATTTCTTTTGATTGTAATTACGTTATAATTCATCCACTAAATTTTCTTGAAATGTAGTTATGAATTTGTATTAAACGGTTTCTACTGTGTATAAAATTTGTACGGTTAAAGTTTTCAAATTTAATAAAGACCAAATTTGTCACCCTTTTAAAATACAGTAAGAATGGATGTTTTAAAAATACAGTGAAGGAAAATAAATGTGTGTTTGGAACCATGGGTTCTCTTAGATTTTTTGAAATTAAAAAAATTTGGAAAACAATATCTACAAAAATATAAAAGTTGAAAATTATTATGTTATATTTAATTTGTAAATATTTATTAACCATTTCATTGGTCAAAACATAATAAATAATAATACATTTATTTATATTTTTAGAAATGGAAAAACATAAACCACATACTCTCGTCGAGATCATATCTTAAAGTTAGGGAGCTAGAAACACGAAATAGTTATCGAACAAACCAGATATTTCTAAAAAAATGTAACAAACAAAAGGAAATCGAGAGCTTACTTGCAAGATCTATGGCTTCCTTGTCGTCAAGTACAGCAGCAAAGCCATTGATGTATCTATTGTACGAGTAGATCATCGATTCTTTGGCTGTTACTTGGCTGTGCAAAACAAGGAAAATTAAATAAAACATATATTAAACAAATGCACAGACCCAAAAAAAAAAAAGAAATCTCTAAACTTTGTCATTAACTGTCTTTTTAGAAGTTTCAATGTTATCTTGACCTTTTATAAATATTTAAAAAATATTTTTTGAACAAACATCTATTAATATTTTGAATGAAAAACTTACGTGTAGAATTTGAAACGAGGTGACAATTAACATAAAAGCTTACAAAATGAATTAGCTAGCACTACAAAACGAATTTGACTGATCAAAACAAATCTCAAGTATAAACAATGACAAACCCACAACCAACCAAGTTAAAGATTAAACTTGTTTTTTAGTTCTACCAGCTCATAATTGTTCCAAATTAAACGAACTTCCACACATGACCTTCCAAACTTTGTCACGAATATTGACAGATGCTTGCTAAAATGATTTTTTTTCTTAAACGTTTATGAAAAGCTCAGGATAGTATTGAAACTTTTGAAAAGATACGGATACTTTCGAAACAAATGTCAGAATTCAGGAGTTTTTTTTTTTTTTTTTAATTTAGATCTCTGCATGATCCTGAAGAAAATATGGTACCTTCCAGTGACCGATCCCAATATATCATAATGGGACTCGACTGCAAGCTGGTTATCAAAGATGCTTGAGCGTTCCGACGATGGCGATCCCAAGTAAACGATATAAGACTGCGAGAAAAAAGAGAAAAAAGAGAAGAAAGGAAAAGTATTACATAAAAATGAAAGAAAAAGAAACCTATTTGGGAGTGAAAGAGAGAGGCAGAGAAAAATGGTTGCCTTTTTGGATGGGATGGCAGATGTTTGAAGCATAAACAAAAACAAAAGCAATAGAGAAATATGAGAATTCTCCATTGCTTTTGTTTAATTTGGAATTCTTTTGAGTTTCATCTGTTTCCCAATGGGGTTTTATAGTAACCAAAAGGGAAATGGATTTGATGCACGTGAATTAATAATGGCCATTCATTTGATTAATGGAAAGCTGAAATTAAGGTAAAATAATTATCCTTTTTTTGACCCAATAAAGAGAACCGAACCGTGTGTATGCTGGAAAATGGCTTCCTTTAATTAGCAATTTTTGTTGGATTGATTATTAGTGGCTGGCTTCCTTTCCTTGCCTGCCTGTTCTCGGATTAGTCACGGTTGAAAAACATTTTTGGTCCATGTACTTTAATTAAAAGTGAGAATTTAGTTTTTAAACTTTTAAATTACTAAAATTTTAGTTCATGAACTTTAGTATTAACAATTTAGTTCATGTAGTTTAAAGTTTGTGGCAGTTTAGTCTCTATCGTGAAACTTTTTGTTAAGATTTAATACAGTGTCTTATATATGTAGATCGATGAACTGTGAGGGACCGGATGTGTTTATAAATTGTTGATGTTGACGTAGGATGGTATGCCTAGGGTAAATAGGGTTGTACCAACTTTTATATTTCTAAATTAAAATTAAAAAATAACAAAAAAAAAATTAAACGAAATTTATATGCAAAAATTAAAAATGTAGAGAGAGAAATGACATTAGGAATTTTTACATTGGTTCGAAAATTCATACTCCACCCCTCAGACTCCTTCTTAGGTATTTCATTGCATCGGCTCTCTTACAATGAAAACCAAACCGATCAACCACACTTTTTGCGGGCTCAAAAGTAAACCCCTACCAATCCTTTTGCAAATTCGATATCCAACCTACACCAATCTTTTTCACTAATTCAGGATCAAACCACTACAACACTTTTCATTGGTTCAGGATCAAACAACGCTCACAATCTCAAGGTGCACTCACATCTTAATACAAAATCTCAAATTATGTAAAAATAAGTAGTACAAAGTAAATATCTCACTAAGGTAGGTTTACAAATGTTGCACTAAAGCAACGGCTAAAAAGCAACACTCTAGCCAACATGAGCTTAGCTCAATGGTAATTGAGACCTCTCTCTAATAAAAAAAACCATGAGTTCGAAAATTTTTGTTTTGATAATTGGTGAGTGAAGAAGATGAATTTCGTCTACAAAAAAACCTAATGCATGCACACACAGAAATATTGTACCGGTGTGGTGTTTTGCTTAATGCACTTCGATGCTTAAGTTAAAACTCAAGTAGCGGGCAAACAGGTATGAAACAGAAAAAATAAGGAAGCAATAATCTCGAGGGTTGGAGTCTAAGAGTGTGTGTCGAATCCTCACAAGGAGTTGGAGAAATGTGGCTTACCTTCATTTGTTTGTTTTCCTATGTACGGGGATGGAGAGGGTTTTAGTGTGGGGTTTCCACTCCCTTCAACGTTGATAACTCTTCAAATAGAGTTATTTGGGTATAATGTTGGTGTAAATTAGCTAAAGATAGCAGTCCTTGCTCCCTTAATCACTGTTTTTGTGCTAAAAAGATCATAAACACTAGCTTTCTACACTGTAGTATTGTCAATTGCAATGGAGCTAATTTTGGTGCATTTTGCTACAGTTTGACGATGCTACAACATCAGATCCAGATTCAGAAAGCAGCAGAAAACGACAAGCTGACAGTGAAATGACTGCCCAACAGGATTTACCACAGTAATTGGAGGTTTTAACCAAGAGAGAGAGCTGGGTCCCCCAAGGTCCGTAATGTTGCCCTAATATTTGAGGGGTGTATAAATACAAACAAGAGAAGAAGCCTCCAAGGACACACACATCAAGAAACATTCCCCTTGTTCATCCTTGGAAGAAGTCCACCATTACTCCAAGAAACTCTCTCTAAGAACCATTAGAGAAAGCAAAGAGAAAAAGCAGACTCTTCAGTGGCAGTTGGGAGCTAATCTTCAGCTTCTTTTCTTTATTTTCTTATCTTTGTATTATTGGAACATGTTGTGCGATAGATGAGAGACAGATGAGTGGAAGGTAATTTACGAATATAACTTATACTTTTTTGAGTATTTATATTCAATATATATTCTCATTTAGGTTTTCTTTTGTTAGAAAAAATCTGAGACCAACAAACGCAACAGGGCGAAGATGCCATTCAACCATCATGCAGGGCCGAAGGCGTTTGCTATTATTGCAAAGGAGAAGGTACAATAAAATAATATTTTTTTAGCCTTATACTTATATTACTTAAGATCGATTATCAACAATTGCGTGTTATCAATTGCAGAAAGAAGAAGAGGGAGGTGACAACTTTTCTGAAATCAATTTGTTCAGGGAGACGAGATATTCTGACACTAAAGGTTGGGTCGAAGGAGCAGAGACAGCTTACGTAAGTTTACAAATCTTATAATAATTAACTGCAAATTACGCATTGAATTTTATGTGTAAACAATTTAATCTTTTTAAAATATGTATGCAGTTAGACATGATGCGTGTTAGAGAAGCATCTATGCAAGACGGAGGTGAACCGCTACCAGACCCAGAAGTATTGGAGTCAGTTCTTGGTTATCGTTCAGGATACATTAAGGGTGCTGGTTGGGGCCGAAAACCAAAGTCTCGTAGAGGTTCTTCTTCAAGTGCAGCATCAACACAGCGGGAAGAAGAGCTGTCACAAGAAATATGTACTCCAAGAGAAGAATTTCAGGACCGTCTCACGCAGAAAGACAAAGAGCTTGACGATCGTCTTGCTCAGAAAGACAAGGACTTAGATGAGAGTCTCGCAGCCAAAGATTCTGAGATTACGGGTCTACGCAGTGAAATGTCAGATTTGAGATCAATGGTGCTAAACCTTATGAGTCAGTCTAGTGGAGCGAGCTCGTCAAAATAGGTACGTCCACGTAGAGTGTTGTTAGAATTCAATAATCGTAAATATGGCTATCATACAGTTATGGTAGCCATTTAGAACGTGTCTTATGAATGATTTAACTATGTTTATGTTTGAGTGCATGTTTGAAGTGTTTTAGATATTAATAGGAAGTGAATTTTCAGTGAAGTGAATCTTTGAAGTGAATTGATACGTTAAGTATAATGTTGTTGGAATTCAATAACTGTAAATGTGGCTATCCTGCAGTTATGGTAGCCATTTAGAACATATGTCATGTATAGTTTGTGGTTTTGGATGATTTTGTTGAATTTGTGAAATGAATTGGTGATTGTGGATGTTTTACATAATAAAAGTAAGTTTTGAGAATTTGAAGTTTGAAGATTAGTTTTTCTTAATTTTGTGGGGTTTTATACGTACCTTTCCTTTAGTTTGTATAATTTGGATTGAAGTTAATGAGAGTTATATGGACATGAGA